TCATTACTTGAAATTCAGACTCTGAGGAGAGTATAAAGGAGAAAAAAAACTTTTTCTTTTAACCTTCTAGGTTCTTAGCTAAAGCCTCCTTAAAGAAAGCAGGTTAACAAGAGAAAAACAAACAAGTTCTTAGCATGAATATCTCATACATATGTGAGAAAAACTCAAAGATGAGTAACTCAGAGGTTGCTAGAATTTGGAGTTATATACCATTTTTATCTGAAATAAAGGAAGAAGAGTGTGGGAAGGCAAGTTATGGAAAGGTCACTGTTAGGTTTGGGCTGACAGGAGCCAGGCCAAGAGACATGATGAGAGTTTAAGAAATTGCATTCTCTTAGTGTGCTGAGACCAGTGTATCAGTGTCAGCAAGCAAGAGTAAGGAGGGCAAATATATATACCTCCTGTGCAAGTCAGAGAAACCATTTGGACTGAATGCTGGCGGGAATGAGTGTAGTGGTTTACTGGAAACTGGAAGTCATTAGTCATATCTTGCAAAATCTGAAATGAAAATAACAGGAAATCTGCAGGGAGGGTGGGAACCCAATGGGGTATATTGGAAAAGTACTGAGCCCAGGGGAAAAGTAGAAAATATGCCTAACATCCCAGCATTCCCCCTCCCCCCACTTCTCACTCCCTTAACTGGCATTTCTGTAAAGTGGGGTTGATGGAGACTGGCTCATTTCATTCTTATGTAGCTTCTTCATGCTTAGGTGGTATGAAGAGATGTCCATAATTAGTCAGTGATTGAGGAAGGGGCTGATAGATCTGGAATAGCATCAGTGACAAGGAAAAAGCACAAGTAAACTAGGATAAATGTTGTTTTTTATGTAACTCTTGGCATTCTCCATTAGTAAGAGTTTCTTGTGACTTAGAGTCATCTTTTTTCTTCTTGGTACAGAGAGGGAAACACCCTTACTATATATATCACTAAATTACCCTGCAAAAGTGTCTACATAATAAACATCCACACCTGTGGAGAATTTTTATTTTATTTGAGCCAAATCGACAATATATGCCAGGAGCAAGAATTCAAATATCTGGGGGAAAAAAAGAAAGAAAGAAAGAAAGAAAGAAAGAAAGAAAGAAAGAAAGAAAGAAAGAAAGAAAGAAAGAAAGAAAGGAAGGAAGAAAGAAAGAAAGAAAGAAAGAAAGAAAGAACTCAAATATCTGGAGAATAATAGCTTCCTTTATGCATTTGCAATTAAGAAAGGAAAATAAGGAAGAGGTGGAGAAAACAAGGTTGGGATTGGATTACAGGATAGTTAACAAGATTATGTTAACCACCTTCTTGAGGGTGGTTACTTCTTATTTCAAAGGTAGATGCCCACACACAGACACACACCAATGGACCTGGCTTACATAAGTGACTTTTTACCAAACAGTTAATGTCTGGGGATGACTACCCATCATGATCTACCCAGTTAGGAGTTTATGATCAGATCACCATAGGAGTTTACTCTCCATAGACCCTCTTTTTTATTCAAACCTGAGTAACTTATACTCTGCTTTCAGAATTTCTCCTTTGTCTGCTATTTCTTGAAATAATGCTTAAGCCAAAAAGGCATACTTTAGGGTGGTATATTCTGCTCTTCTACAAGAATGTCCAGTTAGCTTCACTTGACTCTCATGATCCTCACTTGGCTCGGCTCTGTAGAGGACATTGGAAACCTATATGGACAGCCTCACCAAACTGCACATGGAAAGAAAAAGGATAATTCCCTAAGGGAAGTGAATGTGCAGCTATCCAAATGGAGATAAGTGGATATGAGAATGTTCAAGAAACAACCACCACACATGCTATTTATACTAACTACAATTAAATACATTTTCTTCCTGTTTTGAACCAACATCTTTTCACCCTTTCATAAAAGCATCTTTTAAAGAGTTTTTTAAACGACGTATTTGTGAAACTTCCCTATAGGAGACCAGAATATGTCACACCAAAATATTTCAGTACATTTTGAAACAGCCTTTATCAAGTGAGAAAGACAATCAGTATTCTCCATATGTGAACTGATCATTGAGGAAGAACTACCGGGTTAACACTAGTCTCTTGTGAGTTTGGCTGGTATAGGACAGGTCATCATCTCACAGGTGTCTGTTCATCCCCAGGTGCACTGAAAAACTGCAAAGCTGAGGAGTTGCCCTGGAAGCATGATGACCAAGCTATAATATATTTACTGGTTATTCATTGAGATCTGAGTTCCAGGTAATCACCTAATTGAAAATGTTAATACCATGGCTTTTTCTCTAATTGTTTCAAGGCTGGGATCATTTCATAGTACAGGAGGTTTAAGAATACAAGGTACTATGCTTTAATGTTTGGTATTTCTTCTCCCTTAGGCAAAATTATATGAACCAATATTTCTCTTATTCTGTATCTCTCTCCCTCACTTAGTAAACAGAATTCTAGTGGACTATACCTACGGTGTCCTCAACATTCCATCCCCCAATTTACTTTTTCTTCCTTACAACAAAATTTAAGTCTGGAGCCTTATTACTGAGAAGAGTTGCCAATCTCTGCCAAGTAAAAAATGATTATTATCCAATAAACTCAATGGTGCTAATATCTTCTGCAAGAGTGTATTATTCCTCTGGAAACTACTGCCTTATCCCAGCTAAATTGCATTTGGCTTCTTAAAGCTTCTTAAAGATATTTTTTAAAATTTGTTTTTATTGATTTTAGAGAGGAAGGGAAAGTAAGAGAGAAATAGAAACATCAATGAAGATAGAGAATCATTGATTGACTGCCTCATGAAGGCCCTCTACTGGAAATCATACCTGAAATCCTGGCATGTGAGCAGGAATCAAACAGTGAACTTATGGGTCATGGATCCACAATCAACCACTGAGCAACAGCAGCTGGGCCTTACTGATATTCTTAATAAATGAGCCCAGGGTCCAACATGTCAAAGAGAGGATGTGGTGGGTTCTCCGGGGCAAAATTCCAGATTTCTCTGGGTCTTCCGGTAGGAGCCATGATTAACTGTGCTGACAACATAGGAGCCAAAAATCTGTACATTATTTCTGTGAAGAGGATCAAGGGACACTGAACAGACTTCCTGCTGCAAGTGTGGGTGACATGGTGATGGCCACAGTAAAAAAAAGGCAAACCAGAGTCAGAAAGAAGGTACATCCAGCTGTGGTAATTAGACAACGGAAGTCATACCGGAGAAAAGATGGCGTGTTTATTTTGAGGATAATGCGGGGGTCATAGTAAATAATAAAGGGGAAATGAAAGGTTCTGCCATCACAGGACTGTGTAAATTTGTGGCTCAGGATTGCATCCAATGCTGGCAGCACTGCATGATTCTCTGGTGTATTTGTAAAGGAATAACCCATTAAAAATTGGTGATATGAAAAAAAAATGAGTCCAGTAGGAATCCCCGTCATTCCTTAGCTGTTGGGGAAGGTTCTTTATAATTTTGGGAATTTATAGGTTTTATATAGATAACAGCCTGTATTTGTATATTAGAAGACTCTATCTTCTGAAGCCAGGGAGAAGAGATGATTGATGGGTATTTGTGATGTTGACTTTATCTAAGTCAAAAAGAAGGTACCAAGCCAAAAGATGGGAAAGAAAGAAGACCAATGTAGATAGCGCACACACTATGAGCTAGGACCATAGTATCCTATCTAATAAAAGGGTAATATGCAAATTGCACCATCACTCCAACACACAAGATGGCCACCCCCATGTGGTCAAAGATAGCCACCCCTATGTGGACACAAGATGGCCACCACAAGATGGTCACCAGGGGAGGGCAGTTAGGGGTGACCAAGCCTGCAGGGGAGGTCAGTTAGGGGTGATCAGGCCTGCATGGGAGGGCAGTGAGGAGCAATTGGGCTGGCAGGGGAGCATTTTGACATCAATCAGGCTGTCAGGGGAGTGGTTAGGGGGTGATCAGACTGGCAGGCAGAAGCAATTAGGGGCAATCAGGTAGGCAGGCAGACAAGTAGTTGGGAGCCATCAGTTCTGGATTGTGAGATGGACCAGTGGGATTGGGTCTAAATGGGCAGTTGGACATCCCTCAAGGGGTCCCAGATTGGAGAGGCTACAGGCTGGGCTGAGAGACACACACACACACCCATGTATAAATTTCGTGCACTAGACCTCTAATATGTTATACTAAATCAGCTCTGCCCACCCCCACATTCCCAATCTGAGTGGCATGTCAACACAACTAATGGTCACAAGTTTTCCCCAACTAGAACATAAACATTTATGTTCTCATTATATGCATAAGCATATTACACACATATAATACCTTAAACTGTACACAGCACAAATTTCATCAAGTATATCTAATATCTAATACTTATACCAATCACCACACATACTCTGCACATATAACATATATAAATGCCACGCATATTGGAGTGATATAATTTATTGTGAAGGGAGGATCATTCAGCTTGGGTAGGTATAATAAATCGATATCAGAAAAATTTCTAGGTTAGTGAAAAAGAGATGTGAGCTGAATCGCATACAGTGTATATATATATATGATTGAGCATACATATATATGATTCAAGATACATATGCACATGTATGCATATAGTGTATATATAATATAGAGTATATATTATTATATATGCTATTATTATTATCTATAATAAAACCGTAATATACTAATTTGACTGGACGACTGGATGACCTTCCGAATGAAGCTGTGGCTGCAAGGGCCAAGCCCCTTGCAAGAATTTTGTGCATCGGGCCTTTAATATATAGATATAGTGATATATATATATATATATATATATATATATATATATATATATATAACAGCAGAGCAGGTAAATGACAACAGAGGGTATTCCAGGCAGCAGAGGACTAAATAGGTAAAGTTATGATATCAAGAAATCATGTGATACATAACTCTAAGTAGTTGGAAAACAGAGGTACATAAATGCAAAGTAATGATTAGCAAGGGCTATTGATGTGGGCAGGGCCCACCATTTGGGAAACACTCATCACTCTACTAAAACCAGGGGTGTGGTTAGAGGTTACTGATGACCTCTAACAACCGAATGTCCTCTATGCTATCAACAAACCCATTCATGCCACAATGGAATTCAATGTAGCTGTAACTCCTGTGCTCTTTGTAGCCCTTTTTGTTATTCCTCCAGTAACATTTGATTACTTTAAAGGGGTACTGGGCCCATATATATACATTTCTGTAGCGATCTCTCCAGTTCCGGATGCATACATGCTCGATTTTGTGCCAGAAGGTATAGATGAAGATGTGATAGTTCCTGTCTTTTGGAACTTCTCTTCCTTTCATGAGGTCATTGCATCTATACTCATTGAATTCCCAGCTTGTGCTCAGGTGGTGCTGTTTCATGAATTCCCTCCAGGAAAGGTTCTGGCTGTGTACCTGGAGCCCACAAAAGGGCAACAGCAGGAGCAAGAGAGGACCAAGGACCTTCAGAGAGGAGGACATCTTAGTCACCAGGATCACCTGTGGGTCTACATGGAAGAGAGAGGAAAACATAACTGCAACACGCCCTGAGCTGAGTTCCACCTTAAAATTCCATTGTAGATATTGAGGCTCAATTTTACCATTTGGTTCCAGTCTAGAAGATGATAAATCTCATTAGATAATAAAAATTTCAAGAACTGAAAATATGCTAGAGCCTGAGTGAGAAAACTACAAAATTGTAGAAAATAGATGAAATTTATTTTGAGAATTCCAAACATCTCTTGACTCAAAACAAGAAGTTCTGGCTAGCTCTGTTTTACAGTCCACATGGGTTCTCATAAGAGAGTGTGTCTGAAAGAGAATGGGACTTTACGTTTTATGTCTGTGAAGTAGAAAAGGTTCTCACCTTTTAAGGGAATGTAGAAGATGAGTAGACTTGGGAAACATTTTCAAAGAAGGCTTTGGCTCCCTGAAATCCCAGGCTGCAATTAAAATGGACTCTGCAGGTGGGGCTTATCTCCTATTGACTTCATCATAGCACTTCCCCAATGGCTGCCTGAAACAACTACCCACTTGCCTTCTCTGAGGACATTTCCCTAATTATCATCATGCTGCATCATCTTGATTTGCCATTAAGAATACCATCATAAAGGAAATGCAGTATTGAAATAGTGTTCTAAGCAACCAAATACCAAGATTGAAACTGCTCTCACAGGAGCTACTCTGGTCAAAATCAGGGACTAGCGATGTTTGAAAAAGTCTCTCCTTTAAACCAGCTCCCTGTCCTCGGTTAGCACAAGGAGTTAACCTGGTTCTACAGAAACTCTAACCTGATTCTCAATATCTCAGAACTGGTGTCCTCAAATGAGCCTAATAGTAGCTCCTTTACAGACCTGTGAGAGACTAATGGGATTTGCATGAGAGCACTTTTGGAGGTCTCGAGTGCTCTATCAGGCACAGGATAAGGGATAGGCAAGTTCTCATTTGTGGTACCCTATCCCTAGCTCAAATGGCCTAAAGAGGATTTAAGCAGCTTCAATGTGTTATGCTTGAAAATATTGGGGAGGAAGGGAGGTGTGAATTAGTAAGATTAATGCTGAGTTTAATTTGGGTCTTTGCTTCTCACAAGTAGGATCACTGCATTCTCAATTCTATCACCTAGGTCAAGCAAGCCCCTTCCAGTGTTCCTGGGCCTTTTCCTCAGCCATGCTCAGTTCCAGCCCTTCTAACTCTAACTTGTCCTATTCAGATTTCATACTCACGTTCACAGGTCCATTGGGATTAGTGTGTGAATCTGAAGAGCAGAGTCAGTGTCCTTTTCCTTTTCTTAGAGCTAAGAAGTCTGAGGCAGTGAAGAAAGGAATAGATGTGGGAGGGGCAGTGTTCCAACTGATTGGCAGCGGTGGTGGGGGAAGAGGGGACAGTCTTACTCTGTGCACCTGTTTATCTCCTCATCTTGAACACTGGGGGTCATTCTGAGAAGAGCCTGGAGCAAAGGGGTCATACATCAAAGGCAGTCTTCTGGGTACAAAGGAATGGCAAGGCCCTGGGGGCAGGAGCTAAAGAACAAAATTCAGCCAAGTAAGTTTGAAGATCTAATTGGCTTTATTAAGCAATTCAGGAATTGGGTAGCATGCCATATATCACTAGAAAGGCACTTTGGTGAGTTGTACAAAACGGAAGGTTTTGAGGGGCGGAGCTTGAAGATGGCGACGGAACAGTCGGACTTGTTCTGACTCTGGTCCCAGAACAGATAAAGGTGGCTTCTGAGTCGCTCAGGGAGTGTTGTTTGGCAGCTAAGGGACAGCGGAGTTCTCAAGGAGGATAAGGGAGGGTCCGCTGGACAGGATTTCCTGACCAAGCGGCCAGGACGGCCGCGGCAGTAGTGGCAGCGGCGGCAGCAGCAGCAGCGGCGGAGGCAGTGAGCTGTGGGCTGCGGGGGTGGAGGAAGGGCTGCATTGTCTTGCCAGGAAGGGAAGAGTTCTCTGAGGCGTGGAAAACGCACAGCCCGGAGGTCCATCGAGCAGCTGAGACTCCCAGAGCTGCGCAGACACGTGGATTCCGGGGAGATCTTCAGTCACCCACGGAAAGATCAGCGTTTGCGGTGATAGCCTAAAGGATCTGGGTTCCTCGGCGGCAAGCTCCGGCCCCGCCTCCACTACGGTAGCCTGGGAGCTCCAGCCCTGCCTCCACGGTAGACGGAGCGCGAACTACCGCCCGCGGAGGCGGAGCGGAGCCCAAAGAAGGCTGCAGCGACACCTAGTGCTGGGTTTGAAGTAATCCCCCCCAGAAGAGGGGCTTTTTTAAAACCCAGGGGACATGGGACAGAGTGTTAAGAATCGCGGCTGTCCCGCCAAGGGCGGAACATCTGGACACCTTGGCACCGGTTCCCATTCATCCCCTTGCTTCTGAATACTAGGGAAGGACTGCCCAGTTGGGCATAGCCGGGGAAATTGCAGGGGGAATTTGCCTTCTGGAAACAAGGGATCGGAGCCAGAAGACATAGTCCTGGAGCCAGCTAGAGCCATAGAGAAAGAAGGCCAGAGCAACCAAAAAGACTGGGAGGTCAAACCGGAAACACTGACACCTAAGAGCTGAATTACAAACTGCCTTTTTTTTTCTTTTTTTCTTTTTCTTTTCTTTTTTTCTTTTAATTAATCAAAAATAAATGGACACAAATAACTAAGATATAACCTGCTTAAAATTAAGGTTTACCTTACAAAACTGAGGTGCAGTGGAATGCTGGGGACTGCAAGACTGTCTGGTCCGAGAATCAGGAGTGCCAAATACATTAACAGAGGAAGTGAATGACCACTACTGGACATTTTTATGCTAATTTTACTATTCTTTATTTTATTTTCATTTTTTACATCTTTTATTTAATTTTCACTTTTTATAGCATTTACTTGGGAAAAAAATTTTTTCTATTTTTTTCCTTACTTCATTTACCTTTTCAATTATTACATTTTTCAATCTCTATCATCACTATTACTACTGCTATTTTGCAATTTTTGTTTCTTTCCTTTTTTTTTTTTTTTGTTTGTTTGTTTGTCTGTTTCCTCTCCAGTACCATTTTATTTTTTTCTGTATTTTACATTGGGAATAACCTCCATTCTATTTTAATCACTACTATAGCATCATTCAACCCTATCTCAACTTGACCTTTACACCATCACTCTCTTACTAAACTTTACCCTTTTAGTCGACGGTTTATCCTATCCCTTTCCGGCTTTAGATTTTCCTCTATTCTTTCTGTATACCCCTTGCTAAAGCTCTCACTATACTTATAGACCTAAGTTCCAACCCCTGATCCAAGTGTATAAATACCAATTTCTGTACTATATTAACTAGTTAAAAAAACAACTGTTCTCCCCTCTATCCTTTGCGCATTGTTTGTGTGAGGGTTGATTATTGTGAATTTTTATGCTTTTTAGTGAAATGGTTATGCTTATTCCTGTGTTGTTATTGTTGCATTTTTTTTAAATCCTCTGTTTGTGTTTGTTTCTATTACTTCTGTATATCATAGCCTTACTTAATAATAGTGGATATTGTAGTTTGTATTAATCTCCAAGTATTGTTACTGGCATTGGCTGGGTTCAGTAGTTGTTCTATGGCAATTTTCTCCACATATATATAGTTTGTTTCCCATTTCTCTTTTAGTTTGCTTCTTCTCTCCCTTTCTCTCTCTCTCTCTCTCTCTCTCTCTCTCTCTCTCTCTCTCTCCTTTCTTTTTTCCCCTGTTTTCCAACTTTATTTTGTCATTACTTTTTTTCTTCTTTTTCTATCTCTTTATCCTTTTTTATTTTATTTACTTAATTTTTTTTAATTTTAATTTTAATTTTAATTTTATAAAAATTTGTCTTTATTTTATTTTTACCTTTCTTCCTTCTCCCCTATCCCCTAAGTTGCCTTTCTCTAGTGGTCACCTTTATTAGAAGTTATTAATATTGTAAATACATTCCTGTTAAGTGCCTCTTGTGTTGTACCTGGTAGTGTTGTATATTGTACCTTTAAATCAACGCAGGAGAAGGAACACCACATAACCAGACATCCTGAAAAGAGAGGCCATGGGGAGACAAAAACAGTCTGCACATAAAAGAAAAGCAGGCATCACCAGAAAAGGAAGTAGAGTTAGAGGCAACCAGCCTACCAGAGCAAGAATTCAGAATAATGATCATAGGATGGCTAAAAAGAATGGAAGAGAAATTTGACAATAACCAAGAAGAAATGAGGAAGAACCATGAGGAACTGAAGAAGAGCCATGAGGAATTGAAGAAGAACCAAGAGGAATTGAAGAAGAACCAAGAAGAAATAAAAAATGACATCGCTACCATGAAGAACTCAATAGAAAGCATCAAGAGTAGACTAGATGAAGCAGAGGACCGCATCAGTGAGCTAGAAGATAAGATGGAAAAAATACCCAAGTAGAGCAACTTCTAGAAAAAAAGATTAAAAAGCAGGAGGAGAGCCTATGGGAGCTTTGGGACAATACAAAACAAAATAATATTCGAATAATAGGGGTTCCAGAAGGAAAGGAAACTGAGGTAGACATGGAAAAAGTATTTCAAGAAATAATGACAGAAAACTTTCCTGAAATAGAGAAGAAAAAACCCACACAAATCCAAGATGCTCGCAGAGTCCCAAGCAAAATGAATCCCAGAAAACAGACTCCAAGGCACATTATAATTAAATTGGCAAACAACAACGACAAAGTAAGAATCTTAAAAGCAGCCAGAGAGAGACAGAAAGTGACATACAAAGGAACCCCCATCAGACTAGCAACTGATTTCTCAACGGAAACTTATCAGGCCAGAAGGGAATGGGATGAAATATACAAAGTCATGCAAAGGAAGGGTCTGAATCCAAGAATACTGTACTCAGCAAGGCTATCAATCAAAATTGAAGGGGAAATCAGGAGCTTCACAGACAAAAAAAGACTGAAGGAATTTATCTCCACCAAACCAGCAATGCAAGAAATGCTAAGGGGTCTACTATAAAAATAAAGAAATATTAAGTGAAGA